ATATAGCAAGCTCTTGGCTTCCCTCTGTAGTGGTCTGGCCATGCTATCCAGTATAGCAGCCGCTAGCCACATACGGCTTTTAAACTAAAGTAAAACTTTAATTGAGATCCCTATTCGCACTAGCTACATTTCAGGAGCCCAATAAGAATGTGTGGCTAGTGGTTACCCTATTGGACCGTGCTGGTATAGAAAGTTCTTGCTGTAGAGATAATTCAAAATAAATAATAGGCTGCCAATTCTTGATTAGTTTTCATATAATATCTAATGAGTGTCTTCCCCATCCATTTTCTTCTTAACATGGCTTTGCTTATAAGCCTATGCTAAAATTGCTTATCATCTTTGAATAATCCTCAAATGATAGAGTCAGGAGAGAATTAATAGGAGAGGATGCTTATTGCATTAAATTTGGTTTAGATAATGGGTAATCTGAATTCAGAAAATATGCAATTAATACTAAAAAATGCCCTTGGTAGACTCATAGGATTTTAGATTTCATAAGGGCCATTGATTTTATTAATCAAGCCTTCTTACTTAGCTGATGACAAGTTTGAGGAACAGAGAGGTTAAGTAATTTGCTTAAGTCACATATCAAGGCAGTGGCCTTGTTAAACCTTATTTTTGAAGTTCACTGTTCTTGTCACTGGGCCAAGGCAAGTTTTGTAAAAGTTTTAGTACTATAATTCTATTCAACAACTTTAGAGACAAGAGGAGCCAATTAGAGTAGAATTACCTTTATATAATATCACAAAGTGTATTGTAAAAAATAGGAAGTTACTCTTTAAAAATCCATTTCTGGGCCTTCTTTTCATGTCTTTGGAAAAATTCTGCTTTCATAAACAGACATTTTTACCTTTCGTCTTGAAATTACATTTATTTTAAGAATCGAAAGGAAATGTGCTTCCTTTTAAAAATAGCCCTTTTCGGTATTAGGATGTGGTAGTTAGGAAAAAGATTTGCCTTTTAAAATCCTGTTTTTATTTTGCAAAGCTTATGGATCAATTGCCTGTAAGGTTTTTATGCATTCTCCCCAAAATTCCATTGAAAGTCAATTTCTGTGAAATGGTTTGTAATCTCATCTTTCATATATTTTCTCTTGGAGTTATTTATTTCCAAAGGCACTGCATAGGGTCCATTAGTTGCTGAGAGCCAGCTGTGGAAAGTGCAGCCCTTTATTTTAGAGACCTGACTACATGCTGTAAAAAGATTGCATGTCATTGACCTGGGAGATTCCTGGGTCCTTCCACCATGTTCTGTGGGTTGAGCCTTACAGCTACCTTCTTTTCTCCTCTGCTGTCCAGGTTCAGACATTCCTCTGAGTGTTCCTGTTTGTAGCCTCTAGTTCCATCCAGTCTTATCCCTGTTTGCCCGTCTGTCCAGCATACAGTCCCCAGGATACCTGGAGTGAAATCCTGCATGTCTGCTGTGCATTGAGGGCTGGAGGGTTGCTCAGGGGGAACACACGGAAGGTCGTTTTCCAGAGCTTGCTGCTGTCTTCTGTGTCTTCGCGCATTCCATCTCATTGTCCCTGGTGGTAGTGGTGCTGTGTCTCTGTGTGATGGGGGATTGTTAACTCAGTCACCCTTGCTGTCGTGGTGGGGTGTGATTGTCCAGTGAGCCCCACGGGTGTTCCGTTTGCAGAGGACGCATGTCAGTTGTTGGTGTTTGGTGGGATGGCTGCACTTCCTTGTCAACCAGTGATTATGCAGATGGCATGGACACTTACTCCTTTGGTCCAAGTGGTTATAGAGAGAAAATGATGAGTCCTGCTGCCCACTGTAGAATCCAGGCATGGGACACGAGAGCTTGCGAGTCACCTGGCAGCCTTTCTCCATTGTTTCATCTGCTGTGTGCAGCCCTGTGGGAGGAAGTCTCCAGAAGCATGACTACCCAAAAATTAATGTGTGCATGCTGTAACAGGAATCATAATGGGGTGATCTGAGGAGAGTACCGTTCCTCCCCTCGTCCTATGGATGATTGTAGCAAACTGATGCCCACGGGGCAAGATTAGCCAGCCTCAATATTAAAAGTGGGTTTGCCAGTGTGTAACCAATCTAGGAACTCATCTGCCTGATAAATGGGTTCCTTTATTTGGTTGTTTTTATTTTGCAAAGCTTATGGATCAATTGCCTGTAAGGTTTTTATGCATTCTCCCCAAAATTCCATTGAAAGTCAATTTCTGTGAAATGGTTTGTAATCTCATCTTTCATATATTTTCTCTTGGAGTTATTTATTTCCAAAGGCACTGCATAGGGTCCATTAGTTGCTGAGAGCCAGCTGTGGAAAGTGCAGCCCTTTATTTTAGAGACCTGACTACATGCTGTAAAAAGATTGCATGTCATTGACCTGGGAGATTCCTGGGTCCTTCCACCATGTTCTGTGGGTTGAGCCTTACAGCTACCTTCTTTTCTCCTCTGCTGTCCAGGTTCAGACATTCCTCTGAGTGTTCCTGTTTGTAGCCTCTAGTTCCATCCAGTCTTATCCCTGTTTGCCCGTCTGTCCAGCATACAGTCCCCAGGATACCTGGAGTGAAATCCTGCATGTCTGCTGTGCATTGAGGGCTGGAGGGTTGCTCAGGGGGAACACACGGAAGGTCGTTTTCCAGAGCTTGCTGCTGTCTTCTGTGTCTTCGCGCATTCCATCTCATTGTCCCTGGTGGTAGTGGTGCTGTGTCTCTGTGTGATGGGGGATTGTTAACTCAGTCACCCTTGCTGTCGTGGTGGGGTGTGATTGTCCAGTGAGCCCCACGGGTGTTCCGTTTGCAGAGGACGCATGTCAGTTGTTGGTGTTTGGTGGGATGGCTGCACTTCCTTGTCAACCAGTGATTATGCAGATGGCATGGACACTTACTCCTTTGGTCCAAGTGGTTATAGAGAGAAAATGATGAGTCCTGCTGCCCACTGTAGAATCCAGGCATGGGACACGAGAGCTTGCGAGTCACCTGGCAGCCTTTCTCCATTGTTTCATCTGCTGTGTGCAGCCCTGTGGGAGGAAGTCTCCAGAAGCATGACTACCCAAAAATTAATGTGTGCATGCTGTAACAGGAATCATAATGGGGTGATCTGAGGAGAGTACCGTTCCTCCCCTCGTCCTATGGATGATTGTAGCAAACTGATGCCCACGGGGCAAGATTAGCCAGCCTCAATATTAAAAGTGGGTTTGCCAGTGTGTAACCAATCTAGGAACTCATCTGCCTGATAAATGGGTTCCTTTATTTGGTATTGTTCCCAACAAAGCTTTCAGAAACTAACTTGTCAAATGATTCAGTAGTGATATGAGATAACTTCATTTAAAAAAGATTTAAAAAACTCCACAGTTTCTATTTAGGTTTAAGTTATTCCTGTATACATACATTCTATTTTCCTACCCCTTCTGTCTAGAATCCACAGAGGGGCTGAGATTAAGGCTGTTTTCCTTGCTTTCTCTACTGTTCCCCATCCCTTCTCCCCCAATTCCCCAGTGCTACTGTGAGCACATGTAAGCGGGTCCATAGTCCTTGCATTTTCCTGGCCTTTCTGTGATTTTTAAGTGAACCAAAGAAACCATTGTGTACCCAATACGCTGCCTTTAAGCCATGGCACTCACAATTTCCGGGACAGTCCCGATTTAAATTATTTGGATCTTGACTTCCTTTCCTCAGACCTTCTACTCCTCATTTTTGCCTCAGAAAACAGAGTAAGGCAGGCCCCTATGCTCAGAGATTGCTGAATGAATAAAAGATAATCTCCTAGTTGCTGACCTTTGCCTTATATATTTGTCATTCCGTTTGCTTATTCCTGTACTTACCTTTCTAGTTGCAAGATGCACAGATTGCTTCTTAATGAACCAGGCTATAGACATTTTTATGGTTCCTATTCTAAGGCAGGTGTTTTCTTTCTTTGCATTTTGATTGGGAAATGGCTTTGTATCTACCTTGCAGTGTCTGGTATAGAATTTTATGTAACCAGGTGGATAATAAATAGGTGCTGAATTAAATTCCAGTGCTGGGTGCCTGATAGGCTTCCAGTTCCTTCCTGTTACTTATTATACCATTAGTTCAGCCTTTTTCCTGCCATCACACATGTGATTAACGCACTTTAATTTTGACAAAGTCTTAAAATATTTTCCAAAAAAGTAAACTGAACAGCTCTAGAAGGGTGGAGTGTGCATGTGTGTGTGTGTGTGTGTCTTAGAAGGGCATGGTTTTCTTAAAAGGTACTTCACTGTTATGGGAGTGTCAAACTATTCCATCTGTGGGTATAGACACACGGTTCTTTCTTGTCATCTGCCCTTCCCTTTGGCTGATTTAAACTTTTAGTCTACATGTGAAAATATGAATGAGAGTTACAAACCCCACATGCCTGTATCTAACCACTGGAGCCATGAGTAGCTGATCTTTAGTTATGATGTGCCTGGGTGTTTCATGGACTATGACATAAACAAATTAGATTGTAGGGTTCTGGGAGAAGTGGTTGTAATTTTACCTGTTCTTCTATCTGTCATGCCAAGTGAGGAATAGCCATGCTATCATAGGAAATGTCTAATTGGTCAAAAAGCACATTATTTGCATATGTTGAGACTTTAACTGCATTTGGGGATGAATGGCTTGGGACACACCTTGTGTCCTGCCTGTGTGGTGGGTATGCTGAGGCTGAAGTGGCTTGCTGTCTCACAGCATGGAGTGAGAGAGAAGGAATAGGTGGGTGGTGTGGTGTCTTGTCGACACTGCCAAGGTGGGTTGGGTGTTGAAATGTAGATTCTGTTGGTTGGTGAAAAATGTGTCCATCTTCATGGTAATAATGACCTATAGAAAACTGATGGTTTTGTGATGCTGTGACCGTGGTTGCTGACCCTGCATAGACATATACTCTTTAGTCTTTATTCCTGGTATTTTCTGTTGTCAACGTTACATTGTGTACTGCCTGGTAGCAGCTCTGATGGATACTTTTGTTTTTGGAGGGTTTAAAAACAAGCGAGTATAATTACAGTGCTCTGATTTGTCTTCTCCTGTTGGCTGTCCTTAGGTAATTCTTCCTGTGGGATGCATTAAGAGAAGAGGATCCTTCCTTGTTAGGAATGGAGAGCAGTTTGTCAATTTCCAACATGCAAGACCCTTCCTCTTCCCTCTTGGAAAAACAACAAAAAGCTAATGGTAATGGAGATCTTGATTCAGGTAGGATTTTGTTTTGTAAATCCATCTGACTCTGATTTATTGACCGGTATTTAACTGAAAGTGTTCAAGAAACCGTAGGGCAATATCTCTAGGTCTCTCATACAGCCTGTTCCTAGGATTTTCTGTCATAGTTACAAGCATATAGCAGCTCAAAAGTTATGCAAAGTTTGGCTCAAAATGGATATTACCTATGCTAGACAGATTGGGGTAGGCCATAGTGAGGTGACACATTACTTCAGGATCTCAGTGGCATAGCCAATAAATGTTTTTGAACCATCCACGCACTCCCAGACAGCCAGTGGGCGCCCTGATGTGCCGAGTCACGCCACATCATCATCTCATAGTGCCACCAGCTGGACGTGGTCCTCCTGGGTTGTTTGTTAGAGGGCGGGCAGAGCTGGAGCGGCTTGAACCAGCAGTCGGATGCTCTAGCTCAGAAGAGACGGGACTTGCTGTGGCTGAGAACTGTTTGATCACAACCAGTTCTATGTTTCTGCCACTGTAACCAGGTGGGGGAACTAAGATTCTCTCCCATGTACCCAGGGAACTAGGTGAACAGGATCGGCCCAAGCATTAGATGCTACACCCGAGACCCTCTCCCCTCTGCAAAACCTTGAGCCCATCTTTTAGAAAAGTGCATAATGTGAGAGAAACTTAGGTCATGTGAATCTGTGGTGAAGTATTTCTCCTTTTAAGACATCTAAAACAAAACCAAACTGGTCTTTAATTGAATTTTAATATTTAACAAATAAGTTTATAAATGCCTCTATTTCTAAATACATACACAAGAAAGAGTTTATTTTTAAAAGCCCCATTAAAAAAAAAGATTGCACTGTTAACATCACAGCAAATTAAATAAGGACACCTTAACTCTCTGAGTTAAGAACATTTACTCTGGTGGTCATGTAGAAAAAATGCTGGTAATTTAACTCAGTAGGAGATTTGTCCACTGTCCAAAGAAGGTGTAAAATTTGCCTTCACGTTTTGATGAGAGCAGTGACAGAATTACAGATTGCTTCATATCATTTAACTTCTTAAATTTAGTTTCTCAAACTATATCTTTATTGGGAAAATCCTGAAATTATTGCCTTAAATATGTTGAAAGATCTTAGTGTCTGCTTCAAAATTAGCAGCATTCTCTCCCTTTCAGTTTTTCTGTATGTGAAGCAGGAGCTAGAACACTCCTTTTAGAAGCAGTACTGAGTTATCATTCCCCCAGTGGAAATGAGGAGATTCTTTTCTGGGGGAACATAGTCCCAGAGGCCGATGGCTCACCCTTTCTTTCCTATTTGTGCTCAAGTATAAACATGCCTTTTTTAAAATAGTCTTTCTTAGGTTTGCTGAATGTGGTTCTTTTCCCACATTTTTATGGGGCCCTGGTGTTGTTATTGCACACATTTCTGATGTCTATTCCTGCATCATTTTCAATAGGATGGTTTCAAAACTGTTTAAAAGCCAACTGTGTGTTGACTTTTCATTTTCATGGAGCTGCAGTATATCTCTCCAGCTTAAGTAGATTCTAAAACTCTGTAGTAATGATGTGATCTCAGGAAGATTGTCTGTCCTGAATTTTCTTGCAGGTGATTCTGTGAATGGGGAGGCATGAGTATCAGATATATTATATCATCGGGTGGCCTGCTGTGCCCAGAGCATATCGTATACTCACTTCATGGCTACTTTCTTGCTCTTGTGCAGGAGGGTGGCCTGAATCATATAACATGTTAAGATCTTTAATAGAAATAGTAGTGCTAAACAGCTCTAAATTATCTGACCATCTTTAAATATTGGCTCTGACATTTTTTCCCCTCCTATGTGAGTGATCTGTCCTTTCTCCTTGGAATTTCTGAGTGTACACTTATAGATGGCGCCAGAAAAATGGATTCCTACAGAAGCAGCCAAAACCGTTACGGAGCTGGGGCTGACGTGTAGACATTCAGATCTGGTTTTGAATATTTAGACTGTTAATAACATCCTCAAGGATGAGTCTTCAAGTAGCTGATTTATTTTCCCAAGTTCCCTTTTAAACTGTTAATACATAAAATGTTCCCCGTTCTGGTGTCAGTTGTGGGGATATTTGGTTCTGGGACCCACTGTGACATGCTCAAGGCTACGAGATGTCTTGGTGCTGAGGGTCTTTTCCCAGGAAGTGCATCCGAGAGATTTATGTATCGAAGAGCAAGAGAAGGCAGATTCGTTGTTCCTCCGCTCACTCTGAGTTGATGTAGGATGCTTAGATACGTGCTCCTGAGAGCAGACTACATGGCCAGCACTCTCTTAACAACTTTACATGTGTTGACTCGTTTAATCCTTCCATGGCCCTGTGAAATAGTTGGTTTGATTTTCTAGGTTTTCTAGATGAGGAATCTCTTTGGAGGACAAAATGAAGCTATGAGGCTCTTGTGTTGGAGCTGAGATTTCATCTTAATGCATCTGAGGCCCAGAGGCTGGTGTTCTTACACTCTGGCTGTACCTGCCCCTCAGTGCAGGGAGAAGTCACCCTTGATGCATAAACATGTGCAGGAGCACATGCCCCCTGCCCCCACCCACACACCCACACTCACACTTACCATGGGATGTGGGCATAACTGGGTTTCTCTTGTCCTTTCTCCCACTGTGTCTGTCCCCTCTCCCAGTGTGTCCTATGACACGTGAACACATCTCATAGCAAGTGACTGCATGGGAGTGCTGCAGCTGTTCTCTGCCAGACTGGGGCTGCAGAATGCACTTCTGACCGGGTTGCCCAGGGGGTACTGTGCTCCCTGTTCCCCCGCTCCCTGCTGCTTTGATGCATTGCCCCGAGGACCCATCCCTCTGACAGGAGAAACAGCTTAAAACAATGGACTCTGGGTCTCATTAACAGCCTTTTAATCTTTCATTTTTGCCTTTTTTCCAAAGGGAAGCTCAGATAATAGTTGGGGTCAGTGACCAACACCTGATTCAGTAAATGAACTTGGCACGACCTGCAGTGAGTCCTTCTCCCAGGCCCTGAGGAGGCCTCAGGGATGCACCTGTGGACGAGCCGAACAGGATGGCCGGCCCTGGCACCACGCACACAGAGAAGGAAGGGGACCAACACTGGATTTCTGGAACTCCAGGCTTTTCCAATTGCTGAGATAAAAGCAAGCAAAACAGTATGCTGACATAGTGATAAATAGATTACTTGACATTATTTTTCCAGGCCAGCTAAATGTAATTTCCTGATGAAGTCTGTAGATAAAATGGCATTACACATTTAGACTGGGCAAGCCTCCGAGTAAAAAGAATTATGCTGGAATGGGCTTAATGGTTTTTTGTTTTTGTTTTTTTTGGTGTTAGGAAAAGTGGAATTCCAGCACTCTTCTGTTCTGGAAGGGAAGGAGTCAACATTCTACTAAAATCAGATCTCTGAATTTTCATGTCGGAAACTAGTCCCGTGTGATTCCTTAGTATTCCCATTTAAGAAAAAAGTCCTCTATTTCAGATAGTTGCTGCCTCCCCTAGTTAGGGGATTGAGTGATTTTTATATGTTTTATTTTTATTGGAAAATCTCTTGGGCCATCTTGGTAGTTGGGAGCCACAAGGACTTTTGTGTCCAGGTGACTGTCTCCTTATTCCTCGGTGTCGCCCTGTAGCTGAGAGCTCAGGGCTAGGATTGCCGTTGGCCAGTTCTTTTCTGAGTGTCATTGGTACCATGTTGTCTGTCTAATATACTCACTGGAACTATTCTGTAAACCTTGATAGTATGAACGATCAGCACTTAAAATACAATGGTTTAATGACTTCTTCCTTCTCTTTCGACATTAAGAAAAAATATGCAACACAGAAGAAGGTGCTTGGGAGTAGATAGTTGCTGCCTCCCCTAGTTAGGGGATTGAGTGATTTTTATATGTTTTATTTTTATTGGAAAATCTCTTGGGCCATCTTGGTAGTTGGGAGCCACAAGGACTTTTGTGTCCAGGTGACTGTCTCCTTATTCCTCGGTGTCGCCCTGTAGCTGAGAGCTCAGGGCTAGGATTGCCGTTGGCCAGTTCTTTTCTGAGTGTCATTGGTACCATGTGTCTGTCTAATATACTCACTGGAACTATTCTGTAAACCTTGATAGTATGAACGATCAGCACTTAAAATACAATGGTTTAATGACTTCTTCCTTCTCTTTCGACATTAAGAAAAAATATGCAACACAGAAGAAGGTGCTTGGGAGATTTCATTTGTTCTGAATCTGCCAATTCTCATTCCTTTATTGGACAGTGGTTTTGGACTTTAATATTTAGCCTTCAGAGATTGCTTTATTCCGGACTGTAGAATTGTAAAACCCAGGATTTGATTACTTGAAAAAGACATATAAACCTTCTGTTTTTTCCGTTTTTCACTGTCAGGTTGCTTGTACTCCAAAGATATTCTATTATGAAATGCCCTCATCATATAAACAGCTTTCTGTTTTCCCAGACTGGATCGCCACTGATGAACATGCTTGTTCTCTTTTAAACTGTGGTATTTTCTTGGTAGCTACCCATAGTCTGTTTTTACAACTTGGGGAAATGCCTCTGATGGCTTTATTTGAAGAGGAGGGAGATTGTGAGTTTCCTTGATAAGATGTTTATGGGTTTAAGAGGTTTGTGAATCAGCTGTAAATACTTGCTCTGCGTTTGTGAGACCACCACTGCCAAACATTGTGTGTGGGTATGTATTGCTTTTTGACATGTCTTCAGAGAATCAGCTGCTTTGGGCACATAAGCCTGGGAAAAATGTTTAGTTACAGATGTGGAGAAGCCTTACTATGAGAATCCCTAAATAGCACATGTATGGTTACTAGTGCGGGCACTGAAGGTTTTAGTTTTTAAAATCCCAACCACGTCTGATGTGTGGAGTGACTTTTAAAGTATCCTCTTTGGACTGCAGGGAGTAACAGCTTTCTGAGCACTGTCTTTCCTGACTCACTTGGGAGTTATAGTGGTATCTTTTCACCCCCTGCTTAACTTGGTGAGCTTTATCTGAGTGAGCATGAACCATCTACAGCCTGTTATATGGGGAGAAGAGACTGGATATGTGATTTATAATGAATTAAAGTTGTTTGGAAACAGAAATTTTGGTAAAATTCTGGTAGCCTAGACTAGAATTGAATGAAGAATGGACAAATGAAGTGACCAGTCTCGAACTTGAGAAATGGAATCCATGGCCGACCCTTTCCGCTGATGGGAAGGAATAGGATCCTGGTGATGAGGGTCATCTGGCCTTCTGATCCAGGGCCATGGATGCAGCAGGCAGTTCCTGATGGCTGGGTCTCCGCTGGAATGTTTCTGATGTGGAGGAACTGATCACTAAGAGAGCTCATGTGTTTCTCGGCAGCTGTAAATCTCAGCAATTTTTCACCCCAGAGGTCTCCCATGACTTCCTGACCCATGAGCCCAGGACTGAGTTTGATGCTCACTCTTTCTCCCTGGTTCTCTCTTCCTTTACAAAGGGGTTCCAGGGCTCTGCCCATTCTGTTCTCCTCCCCAAGGGGGCTGCTGCCTCCTGCTTTACTGCAGCCCCTGTGTCCTCTCACTGCCTGATTTGGCTCTGGAGCACTCATGCCCACCAACATGGGAAGACAGAGGCGCAGGCCCTGGAGTCCACCTTGGATGCCCAGGTGGAGAAACGGGTAGTGGTGGAGGGAGGTGTCTGATGCATGATGCAGGCAGCAGATTGACATGGAATGGCATCTTGAAATCAGAGAGGCTGAGTTGGAGTCCAGCCTTGTGGCTGGGTGGTTGTGACCCTTCTGAGTCCCTGGCCTGTCTGGACTCCCATCGTCTCTTCTCTAAGATGGGATAGTAGTACCTGTCCATCAGGGTTCTTGGAAGGATTTGATGAGGGGATGTCTATAAAAGCAATTGGCAGATAGCTGACACCCAACTGTGGGGCAGTTCTTAGGATGCTGCAGTGGCAGTGTGGTCACTGCATGGACGGGCTGGACAGGCAGGGCTTGCAGGAGCCTGGACAGCCTATAATCTCTGGTGCACAGAAATTACAGACCTTCTTGGTAGCAAGGTAGCTACCAGCACACACTGTACCAGGCCACCGTGGCTGATAAATAGTGCTGCACTGATGCTCGGCAAGTGGGCCAGAAGACAAACTTGGTAATCTGTGATCTGTGCTGTTTGGGGGAAAATAATTTGGGTGGAGCTAGTGGGGGGACACCGGGAGGTGCTGTCCAGAAGATGACTGCTCTCCCTGTGTCTATCTTGCTGTGTCTTAGCAGCTTGAACCCGCCTGACCTCCCTTGTTGGCTGGGGACTGTAAGACCTGTGACTTTGCTAAGGGAACACATTTCTGACAGAAGGAGATACGTCCCTGAATGAGCAGAATGTTGGGAGAGGTACAAGGGAAAGGTTTTCTCTTCTGGTGGCTTTTTTTCCTTGGACATTGAATTATAAACTGCTTTATTGGAGTACAGTTTCAGGAGGCAGTTCTAAACCATGTTGATTTAGAAGACACAATTTAAGGTAACTTTCAGCTTTGCATCATCAGACTGTACACAATTATCTTCTATCAATTTCTGAGGCTGTATAGAGTATCACAAGAAAATTACTTTTACTACTTACTATAGAAACATATCTAGTAGAATAGAGGTAGTTATAACCTCAAGAATAGGCTTTCTTTCTTGGGTCCTTCTGTCTCTGATTCCCCTAGTCTACTTGCCAGGATATACCACTTCTGTGATTGAAAGCAGTATTTATACTTGGCTGATGAAATAGACTGTTGCTAGAAGATACACAGATTGAACATTCTTGCAAGAAAGGAGAATCTAAACTTCTGAGGCTCCTACTTCTCCGCATGTTTGGACAGCCCTGCTGTAGGTTTGTTCCTTCTGGTAGCCTTGCAAATAGGTTAAAAATGTTTACATCCTATTAGTTATTTCCATTGGAAACTATGACATGGTATGTTACTTATCCTTTAAAGTTAGTTATTTGGTGCTTTTTGACTCTGCAGATTATATCTTTCATTCTTAAATGTTTTAGGAATTGCTTGATTGACAGCTGGTCAGTTTCTGTCACCAAACTGCTGGGTGACCTCTCACACCTGAGCAATCCTTCTGCACCTCAATTTTGTTTTCCTTGAAATAACCTCAGAGTCAATGCTTTCCAAAGCTCCTTCTGACACTAACAGTGTATTGCTGCTATTTTATAATCTCCAGCTAAGGTAAGTAGCCGACAGACAGGTGCCAGGACTGCATATGCATCAGGTGCTCATTCTGTGCCCAGTGGCTTCCTTTACCTTGTCCTCTAATCTCCACAAAGAATGGAATATCTGCAATGGTTGATTCCAAACTAGGACATTAACATGCAGCAGATCCAGCATGGAGCCGCTCTCATTTCCTTTGTGTGAGTATTCAGCTTTGCCCTGGATTTTGTCAGGGTGGTTCAAGCAGAGTTCTTCAGTCAGCTGTGTCAGATCAGCAAACAAGCTGTGCAGACAATCTGACAATATCCCTTAAACCACGGAACTCATTTGTCTCCTGCATTAAGGGTTTTCCGGTCTTCATGAGAGCCAGTGCCTTTCTATCCTTCACTCTGGTATTGATATTCTTCTGTTCTTTGTTTTTCGACAGAAGGTTCAAGCTTGGAGGAAATTGGCTTCAACTGGGGAGAGTATTTGGAAGAAACAGGTGCCAGTGCGGCTCCTCACACGTCATTCAAACACGTGCGTGACATCCCTTCACTTCCCATCTACATTCGGAGGGTGGGAGGGAGATTTTTGGGAAGATGCTGAACCTCTGGGAAGAAAAGGAATTGAAAGAAGAGGGAAATTCAGCCACAGATTAGAGGAGATGAGGCAGTTAGCTTGGTTTTTGTTGGCTTACAGGTAAGGTGGACAGGGCCTAGGGCAGGTGCTCAGGAGGGGGAAGTGGCATGCAGTTTTAACCTTGTTCTCTTCCTCAGAAAGTTGAGTTAGACAGACATGGCCTTTTCTGTGTAGGGGCACACAGCCCAAGACAGGTAAGGCTGATTGCCAGTAAATAATAAAAAGCCAGCAAATTAAGGAAGTATGTGTAATGTGTAACATCATCTTAGGAAGTGTAATGGATGTATATTTTTATTTTGAATTGATATATCTGTTTTGAAAGGACACTTAGAAGTTTTATAGCCATTTGTGGGCAGTTGAGTCAAATTAGAGGAGATAACCATGAGAAAACATTTGGAACAAATGAAAAAAAATCATTTGCATTAGTTAAATTTCTGTGAACAATGCAATAGCATGCCCCGCAGAGGGTAAGTCCCAGGAAATAAAAAATTGAGGCTTTATCAGATTTTTGCTTACATAAGAGATTTTGCTAATACATCATTAGCAAGGAAAAGCCTAAATTTCCAGGACCCAAGTTCTAAGATATTACTGTTGCTCTACTGGAAAAGAAAACTTAATTCTCAGAAACATTTTTCTCTCTGGACTACCCCGGGCAAAGATCTGGCCTGATAATCCTAGGCAGTTTGGGCCACTTTCTCAACCTGTTTTTTCTTCTAGATCTTTTGCTGAATTAGGAAGCTAGAACTTTGATTCTTCATTTTAATGCAGCATCTTATTTTTTTTGGAGGTGAAATATTCTTCTTAAAAGGAATTTAGGCCTTACTAAATTTGGATGACCTTTTAAAGGTAGATGACATTCCCAACTCTCTTTTTATACTGACTTTAGTAAATGTTATGATCACCAGTATATTATGAACGTGATTGTGGCCATTTTGTAAAACTAGGAGCTGAATATTATAGTAGCAAAGCTAAAACTCCTGGTACCCAGGCCTGCAAAAGCCATTGTAACATTTGCCTCTTAAGATGCCAGGAGGTTTGGGTTAGATTCCTTGAGGCAGTTTAGCAAAGAGGTACTGACTGACGACTTCTTCCTTCGTTTTTGTGCCAAGAAGTTACCACTCTCCATATGGAGTCGTCTCTTTCTCTTTAATCCAATAACTTCTCCGTCCTCCATTTCAGTTGTAGTCTCCTTCCGAATGCTGATGTCCCCAGGCAGGGATGCCAGGTGTAAAGGAAAAGTAGCATTGGACCCGTGGATGAGCCACATACACTTCCATCGTCTCTAGGCAACTGTTATTCATGCGCATCACTTTCGAATGTTATAACCTGCTAGGTTGCAAAGCTTTCGTTTTGGGGAAGGACTGGTACATATTAATAAACCGTAACGCCTAATTAAGAAAAAAGAGAAAATCCATGCTCCTGGCTGCACTGTTCACTCAGTAGCCACTAGCCACTTGGAGCTATTGAGTGTAAAGTGTGCCACCCAGATCTACGTGTGCTGTAAGTGTAGGATGCTCACCTGATTTCTGAGGCTTCGATGGAGAAACAGAATATACAATACCTCATTAGTAATTTTTATAGTGATTCCATCTTGAAATGAAATTTGGGATATATTTTGGGATAAATAAAATAACATCAAAATTAATTATATCTGTTTTATCTCACTCTTTTAACATGGCTATTAGAAAATTTAACATCATATTAGTGGCTGGCATGCATTTCTCTTAGATGGTGCTATTCGAGGACAACAAATACTGCTTCTAAGTGCTGTGTTCCTAATAGCTCTAAAAATCTTCCTGATGTGTGGTCTTGAATAAAAACATTTTCCTGCACTTCTGTTTCCTAAAGGTTGAAATCAGTATTCAGAGCAACTTCCAGCCAGGGATGAAATTGGAAGTGGCTAATAAGAGCAACCCAGACACATACTGGGTGGCCACCGTCATCACCACCTGCGGCCAGCTGCTGCTTCTGCGCTACTGTGGCTGTGGGGAGGACCGCCGGGCTGACTTCTGGTGTGACGTGGTGACAGCGGACCTCCACCCTGTGGGGTGGTGCACACAGAACAACAAGGCCTTGGTGCCCCCGGATGGTAAGCTCCCTGCATCCACATGGCACTTCAAAGCCTGACGATTTGCTGGGGGTCCTCATTCATGAGGCTCATAGAGAAAACCTGGTAGGGATTCAGGAATTGATTCAGGTCTTGGACTTTCAAGATTGCTTCTTGACCTCCCTGAGCTCCTGGGCATTGGAGAAAGGGGGAATAGGTGCATTTTCAGATGTCAGAGCTGAACCTGACAGTTGAGCCCACCACGGCCTTTAGGAGTTTCCAGCTTTGGTGCCTAATCCTTAAATGGGTTTTGGAGGTTGGAAAGGAAGGCTGGAGGGATGCCAGGGGTCCTGGTCTTGTTTTCCCTTCTTCAGTGGGTTATATGGCTTTTCCTTAGAGACTGTGAGCAGTGCTGTAGGGCATCTGAAACAGGCTTCTGTAATAAGCTTTAATCTATCTTCTTTTTGGGAAGACTGTCAGGGTGCAAAGCATATATTAAACCACACAGATGATGGGACACAGCATTACTCTCAAGGGATTGTCACAGCTTGTATAGGTGAGATCCATTTCATTGTAAGAAAACAGTGGTTCTCTGCTAGGGCAAACTGTACCCCCCAGGGGACATGAGGCAATTTCTGGAAGCATTTTGGTTGTAAGGCGGGGGAAGATGCAGCTGGCATCTGGTGGGGGGCGTCTGATGCTACTAACATCCTGCAGAGCACAGGACAGCCCCAGACAAAGTGTTGCTGGGCTCAAATGCCAGTGGGGCTGACTTTGGGAGCCACTGGTAGAAGGATGCGGTGTGCATTACAGATCCAGAAAAGGAACACATCCAGTCCTGTGAGTGAGGAAAACTGCCTTACCAAATAGGCAAATCTCAACACCCTGCTCTGTGTTCTGTTCTGATGACGGCAGCATGTACTTGAAAACCGTTCATGCTAATTCTCAGGCATGTGGCATGTGTACTGTTGTCTCTGTGCCTGCCTGCCGATTGTGATTTTGACCTGCTACTTTTTTTATCAAGCTGTATTCTGGGGTTCCTTTTGTCTGCCCTATTAGCAATTACTTTATCTTTTGGAGCATTTGAATTTTATCTTCTCTTTTAAGTTCTGATGCATTGTTTTTATGATGAATGGGAATGGTCTATGGCTTTCTAATACCCATGCATGATGGAAAGTGCTGGGGAGGGGGTTCTTAATAAATGCATGGAGTTTGAGTTGAATTTGTATACATGTGTGAGGATGGAATCCATTGCCTTGGTCCTGGCTTCAGAAGCAGGAAAGAAAGGCCCTTTTTCTTTCCTTCTAGCTTTGAGTCTTTCTGCCTAGAACCTTTTTCCTCTCCTCTTCTATGAATTACCCCCTCTTCCAAGAGCTTCCGTGGGCAGCCAAGGTCAAACCGTGTCTGCTTACAGAGCAAGTGCACCCTTAGTGTTGATCACGTTTGCACCCGTGCTTTTTGTTCCCCCTATTGATTTTTTTTAAAAATTGAAAAATTTTCCATTCAATAGGTTGTCTTTTTTCATTTAATTAATGGTTTCCTTTACTGGGCAGAAGCTTTTTAGTTTAATGTCATCCCACTTGTTTATTTTTCCTTTTGTTGTATGTGCTCCAGTGTCATATCCAAAAAATCATTACCAGGACCTGTGTCAAGGAGCTTTTTTCCCTATGTTTTCTTCTAGGAGTTTTATGGTTTCCAGTCTTACACTTAAGTCTTTAATCCATTTTGAGTTAATTACTGTGAGTGGTGTAAGATAGGGCTTCCTTCATTTTTAAGGCTGGATAATATTCCATCTGGGTTTGAATTAAAATAGCCCCAGAGGAAAGAAAACACGAGGTAATGTATGGCTATTTAATTTCCCTGTGACTTCTGATCTGTCATTAAATAAACCAGTCCTGGTGGATGAACTGTACTGATGGAACATTGGGAAAATATCAGTCCCAGTGAGAGAGTTAGAGATCTTCCTGCTCATCCTGCTCTGCACACAAAGGCTAGAGATGTGCCCACACACTTGGAGGGTCTAGAGGCAGGCTGAGTCCTGGCCACCACCTTGCCTTTTTGCTGTCCTTGCTTATTCATGACTCTTTCTTAAAGTTTCACACTTTAGTGGCTAAATGTCCTTGGAAAGGATATAAGGTGGTTTCACTTTAAAATGGATTCTCTAGTGAACAGTTTCAGTGAGAAGTTTTGGGGTGCTGGATTTTAACACTCTTAGGAGCTAATGGGTTCATTTGGTAAAGATCCATGCAGTTGCCCGAGAAGGAGGGCATAGTTTATTAATCACTTGCTCTCTATCACAGGGATGAAAAATGTGGCAGCAGTCACAGTTTCTGAAACACCATCAAATTTGTATCCTACTGACTTTGTGCTATTAGGCAAGACAGAGACACTTAAAATGACAAATCCCAAATGAAAAATGAAAAAACCCTGTAAAGAGGGAAACCATTAATGTGACTGAAAGGTTCGAAGCCCGTTCAAACAACATGTTATGCTAATTTGAGAATTTCTTTATTGCTCGTTTTAAAGAACTTTAAAAAAATTTAGTAGGTAATCAATATGACTTGCAAATCTTTAGTACAGAGAACAAAGTCAGGAAATAGCAGGTTCATGGGCCAAAAGGTTTTATTGATTGCTGTAGTACAGGATAATTATTGCTTTGTAGCCAGTGGCAGCAATGGCTCCACAGGGAACTCAGTCTATTTTTGAACAAGGATTCTCATTTGTGTGGTTTTCTGTCTTAGAGAGCTAATGTCATAGTGAATTCCGCAACTGTACCTGGTTGATCTTGGTAGTGGTTCAACTTGAAAGGCATCGTAGATTATTAACTTGAGTTAAAGCTATCCATAACACATGATGTTTTTGTTTGGAGCACTCTACTGTGATAGATTTTCTTACTGACCCCAGGAATCAGGGGGTGCGTTAGAGGAAGGAGCCAGCAAAGTAGGAAGAGGTGGGTGCTAATTTTCTTCTCAGAGGCAGAGGAGTGGAGTCTGTTTTATGGGATCTATGAACATCTAGCCCAGAAAAATTGTTGAAGCCCAGACGTAAAGTTTCTCTGTTCCTGTTGTGATGATCCAGTTTCAGTCCCCTGGATTGGGGGACAAACTCAGTTGGAAATTGTGCGTTCCTGGGTCCATCACCACCTGCTGTGGACAGATTTTTTTGCTCCATTAAGAATTGTGAATTTCACTTCTGTTTTGAAGCCAGAGATCTGGCCGTCACCTGTCCCTGAGTGAGAGACCAGCAGGTCCAGACTTGAATCAGTCAGTCAGTATGTGGATGGCAGCTGCAAGACACAGTTGGGTTAAGCAAGGGAATGAGAGTTTGGGGTGACTTTACCCACTCAGGGAAGAGGGAGAGGACTGTCTCTCCTGGCCAGCTAAGGTTGCAGTGCACAACATCTTGGAGGACATTTGAGGTCATTCGTGGTTGTCTTACTTTTCTGGAATCGCAGCCCTGAAAGTCGTTTTGTTACTTGATGGGATAGCTTTACCAAGCATGTAGCCTTCTTTACAGTCCTATTTTCTTGCCTTGCTATTTTAAATGGGTTCATGTTTGAATTGATGTGAGCTGTCGTGATTACGTTGAATGTTACCAGGAAGGAAACAGTGTGCCAGCAACTCTACCATATTTCATTAGGATGTGGTTCCAGCCAGCAGGCAAAGAACTGCATTAACAGCAACTTGGCATGGAGGCCAATTGTCCGTTCAAAGAGCAGTGTTCCTGCTCCTGAGCTAATCGGTACTAATCTTTCATGTTCAAAGTATTAAGAAACATGCTACATTAGAGCATCACTAAGTGCAGTCGAGGATTATGGCTCTTACAGAGGAGCTCGATGTAAACGTGTTGGCTTAGTAAATCAATAAGGCTTGATTTATTCATAAGCACATGCAAAGCTCACAAAGGGCAGCCGCCAAAAATTATTGTTTATAGTGATAATGTAAGGAAATCACTTAATCCAGCTACTGTCTCACTGTTATTTATTGAGAAGTAGCAACCTTTCTTGTTACTGTCTGTGTTTGGGGGAACTTTGCATTTTCAGCAGGTGCCTACCGAGTCACCAAAAGAATTGCTTCTGTAAGATTGCAGGTAAATGTGTGTGATGATGCCTGTCCAAAGAACACCCCGCTGGCTTATAAATTGAGAAATATTTATGTGTGCTTTCTCCTGCTGCAATAAAAGTATTGGAGTTATGGTGCCTGAGGAATCATGCCACTAATTTTTATTTTCCCTGTTATTAAAATTTCTGTAATTTGAATTGCAAACCCTGCAGTCTTGCCAGAATAACTCTATTTACCACTCACAGTTGAATTAAAATTACTGGAGTTAGTTAATATATCTTATTTGAATAACAGGATGTTTATTCATGAAGCGTTAGGAGAAAGTGTGAATATGGCCTTATGTTAGGGGGATAGATCCTGCCAGGTTCTGGAGCCTGATCCCAGGACTGGTGTGGGGAATTGCCGTTTTTAACTGTAGTAGATTATAAAGTAAAAGATGGGGCAGCTGTGGACTATGAAGTGCGGTGTGACAAGACTCACCAGTCTGTGACCATCATTTCACTGTGGACTCTGAGAGGTAGGGCTTGATTGTGTCATATGACACTACCGATATTTAAGATTCCTGTTTTATTATTTAAATGACATTTTTTTTTCATTCAACATTTTATTTATTATTAGTATTTTTTATTTTGGTATCATTTAATGTACAATTATATGAGCAACATTGTGGTTACTAGATTTCCCCCATTATCAAGTCCCCATGAC